TCTCCCAGGTAGACTGGCACTGGGCAGGTGAGGAAGCAGTCATGATGGGAAGAGTCCCCAGTCAGCCTCGGTCTGCATGGGCACCACTCAGAAGACAGGGTAGGAGCTGGCCTGGCAGCTCTGCTCCAACTGATCACAATCACGTTGCCCCAGGAGTGTGAACTGGGGAATGTGAGAGGGGAGAGCCATTGGCCGGGAGGTCCTCATCTGAAAGGTGAAGAGGTAGAGACAAGCTGCTGGGCAGGAGGACGTGATGGGCCTGAGGGCACAGGAGTTATGAGGTGGAGAAGGGAAGAGACACTTAAAGAAGGAGCTCAACATGATGCTGTTAAAAGCACCCAAATAACCTGCTCCAGCTCTGTGGAGAATGCCAATGACAGCTGGAGAGCTCTGCTGCTCCAGGTCTCACTCATCCTGCAAACTCTAGCTGACCTGGGAAGGGCCTGTTTGAAGGAGAGGACATGAGGAGACACTCAGGGCACTCTGAGAAGTGCCACCACTGTGGCAACTCCTGTGATGCTGTAAGCAACAACTTCAAGCTTACCCAGAAGTTGACCTTATCTTGGGTGGGACAGCATTTCTGAATACACAGACCCTTCCCAGGTCCCCTCCTGGTTGTTGGACTTCTAACTAAATAGTCTCCGGCATGTTTCAACCAAACACAACCCAAAGTGTAGTTTCTTCAACACGGCCTGGTTCCAAGCTCTGTAAAGGCTAGGGCTGGCCAGCTTCTGTAAGACCTGCTTATTCCACGGTCCCCGGGTTCCCTATGGCCTGGTGTGTGGCAGAGATGCCTTTCCCTGTGACTGTGAGTATCTAATAGGATAAGCCCACAGTACTCGAGACAGCAGGACAGAGGTGTTTGGAGTGTGGACACTCGGGGTAGTCAACCGCTGCTAAATCCTGGTCCTGCCACTAGCTAGCCATGTCACCTTGGGCAGAACATGTATGCTCTCTTGTGCCTCAGTTTCCTCACCTGTCAGTGGAGCGATCATAGTACCACCTCATAGGATTAGAAAATTGCTATCTGGGAAGTGTGTAGGAGAGCTGACACCCAGGAATTATTGTATTGGTGTTGACTGTCATCATTGTTGTGGTTATTACATAACTCAAGTCTCTATTTTTTGATACCAAAAGAGCTCCTTATAATGAAAAATGATATTTTCCATTTTTCTTTTTCCTTTGCAGCAAAAAATATGTTATTCCTTTGCAGTGCAGCTGCCCTGTAGACTTTGAATTTCATATTACTTTGATTCAGGCTCATCAAGCCTTTACTATTGAGCCAACATCAGGTAAGGAGAGTCAAGATTTCAAGTTTCCAATTTCCTTAGAGAAGTAGAGCAATGGTTCTCAACCTTCCTAATGCCGCGACCCCTTAATACAGTTCCTCATGTTGTGGTGACCCCCAACCATAAAATTATTTTTGCTGCTACTCTATAACTGTAATTTTGCTACTGTTATGAATCGTAATGTAAGTATCTTTTTGTTTTCCGATGGTCTTAGGCGACCCCTGTGAAAGGGTCGTTTGACCCCCAAAGGGGTCACGACCCACAGGTTGAAAACCGCTGCCTTAGAGGATTCAAATCAAAGAGGATTTGAAGAGTAGTTCTCAAGTTACAAAAGAGAATAAACCACATTTGAATATGTTATTTTCAAATATGTAACAGTAATAGATATTTACGTATCTGACATAATCTAAATTGTAATTGCATACTTGTGGATAAGGATACTTAGGATCATTTATGTCATGTAGATTTTTTTTCTTTCTTTTTTTTTTTTTTTAAACTGAGCCATCCTGCTGCCTTTGGCAGCTCAGCAGCAGCTCAGCTCGGGCCGTGCATCGAACAGCTGTTGCTCAGAGCTCACACTCTTGAGCAAGCTCTTAACCAACTGAACCACTCAGCCGGCCCCTCATGTAGATTTTTATAATAGTGTCCAGGTAAATTTCTGCTAAGGTCAAAAGTTGAAATAAGGAGTTAATCCATTCTAATTCTAATTTTGGCTCTTGGTACCTCCTTGGTTCTGTTTTCACCTTATACTTCAATTTCAAATAAAATGTGAATGCTGTTTCTTCCCAAGCTTTCAGAACCTTAGTTGAAGTGTCCAATGAACTGTCTCATGCATGGTGTGGACAGTCTGTCTTTGCATGCCCCAAAAGACATAGTTCCATAGCCTCAGGACCTTTGAATGTGAAATCTCCACTTGAAATGATTTCTGCTCCCCAGTTTCTGTCCCTTAATGTTTAGGCTTGGGATTTAAATATCTGTTCACAGTAGTCTGCTGTGAACACCAAAATTATGTTTTTAAATATCTGGGTAGTTACCCTTTCGTTTCCTCATCTTTCATCTTTGAAAGTGTATATTTTGTCCAACAAATGAGGGTTCAAAGCAGAAACTTTGAATTACTTCTAAATTATGAAATGTAGAAAACCAGGCGCCATTCTGAGATTTTTGAAATACAGTGTAGCTACTGTTCATATATTGCAAAAAAACAGGATTTGATTCTCTTTCCAGAGTGTAGAACTTTATTATTTTTAGGCTTTAAAAAGAAGAGAAAATGAGCGGTTACCAACATTATGCTAAACAAGATAATATTTCTTCTTTTAAGTATAGTTGATGTTCTTACAATAGAACTTTCAGTAAATTATAATAGTAACACTTAGCGACAATTATGTGCTAGGCACTATTCTATTTGAACCTCTCTTGAATAGCATTTACATTCTCTCTTGTGACCATAAACACCACAGTTACATAGTTTTATTTAAATGGAACTGGGGAGCCGGCTGAGTGGCGTGTTGGTTAAGAGCTGGCTTGGGACGCCAGAGGGCCCTGGTTTAGATCCCACATATGAGGGCTAGTGACACTGCCCTCTACAGCTAAGATGCTGAACAACAGCTCAACCTGGAGCTGGGCTGCCATGAGTTACCAGCGACCGTGTAGGCTGCAGCCCCTGCTGCAGTGGGCTACCATGGGCTACCGTGTGTAGCCAGCAGCCAGCGTGAGCGGACACCGTGAGCGGGTGTCCAGAAGCTGGCGACTGATCTGCCTCGCCTAGGAAAAGCGCAATGATGGTGCCAACTTGGGCCAGTGAAGCAACATCTTCCACAACTAGACTGAAGAACAAAAGGACAGCAATTTGTCTGTTCCCATCCTCCAATTCCCCAATAAGAATCTTTAAAATAAAAAAAATAAAATAAATAAATGAAACTAGGGTTTCACCTCCATTCTTTACTCCATGTTTTCTCCATTTCTTTAAGTTCTTTTTCTGATGTCTGAGTTTTGTTATCTAGTGGCTTGTTAACCAAAAGTTCCTGGGGGCTGCATACCTAGAGTGCTTGCATGTTTGAGAATGTCTCTCTGCTGCCTGTAATCTTGAAGGACAACTTGACTGGGTATAAAAAAAAAACCTTGGTTTCCAACTTTATTCACCTCAGAATTCTATAGACATCGTTTGAGTGTCCTGTGATTTGAATTTGCTAGGAATCCTGAGAGTGGTCTGAATCTCTCCCCATTCAAGTGGATTCTGGGTCCCTTAGAATATTTTTTTTTCAGTCTTGAAGTTAAGTAATTTATTAGAACATATATTGGTGGTGTTCTGTATTATTTTTTTCCCTGGAACGTGGCATGTCCTTTCAATCTGGAGAAAAACAACTTTCATTATATTAGAAACATTTTTAACTATTAAAACTGAATATTTTAATCTCCTACTTGCTGTGTTCTCTTCCTCAGGAGTATTAACTATGTGTGTATGTTGGTTATCTTTTTTCCTCAGAATCTATTATCTTCTTTAAAATAATTTCATGTTGCATGGATTTCTCCTTCCTACCTGCCATGTCTCTGTTTTCAGCGTGTGTGTGCGTGCATGCGTGCATGTGTGCGTGTGTGTGTGTGTGTGTGTGTGTGTGGTGTTGCTCCTTCTGATGCAATTTCTGTCTCAGTGACAGTTCCTTTTCTTTTTTTCGTTTGTTTCCTGAGCTCCTCCATCTCTCTTTTTATCTCCTTCTAGTGTTGTTCTAATATTTCTTCCTGGAATTTTGGTGACTCTTCCTGTGACAAGGTTATGTTGTTTGTAATTTCTTTAAGACTCTGGTGACTCACCTGTGTTCTGATGGCATCCTCCTATGATGTGTATTCTTCACCTGATTTTGTTTATGTTCCTTTCCTCCTTCAAAATGTATTAATTTAAAAATTTGCAGCTTTCATGCATAGTACCTGTGTTGGTTCTACTCAGCATTTTACTCAACTTTGAATAAGGCCTGCTACCAGCATAAGAATAATGTAGGAGAAGGGATGATGATGATGATGGTGGTGGTGGTGATGATAAGAGTAATAATAACTAATGTTTATATAGTGCTTACCATGTGCCAGACACCATTCTGAATGTATAATTCATTTAATACTTCCAACAACTCTTATGAATAGATTCTATTAGTATGTTCACTTTACAGATGAGGAATCTGAGGCATGGAGTGTTTAGTTTAGTTGCCCAAGGGCAGAGCAGGGATTGGAACCCAGGGAATCTGGTGCCATACTCTGTGAGCTCAAGCATGCTGGGAGAATATCTGCCATCACTGCCCTGTGTTCACGAGGGCCGAATGAGTCATAAGAGAGTCACTGCATCATCTGTTCTGTGTGCTGCCATTCTGTGGTCACTGGCTCCTTTCTTTCCCTCCATGTCACTTCTAGCCACCTTCTGAAGTAGGACCTGGGTCTAAGATGATAGAGATGGCATGGCACCATAGTTGCTTCATCAGCTCCCCTCATGCTATTCTGTGATATTGGGGTTGGATCTTTTTTGTCATGATCGCCACTTCTCCAGGGCCCAGCCACATTTGCACATTTTGTCACTTTAATCAAAGAGTAGTTGGATATGTTTTTCAGGTCTGTGACTCTTAGTTTAGGGGAAATCTATTATCCTCCTGGCTCTCAGCATGCTGCATGCCTTAGTTTACAGTATTTGGTAGGCATGCTGCTTATCTGTGCTTTGTTGTTATAGTCATTTCTCTTGTTCAATAGAAGATTTTTCCTCTCTTTCATTTGATGTGTTTTTTTTTCTTGTTGTTTTGGTTACTTTTATAGGAGGGTAGTCAAGTTAAAATAGCTTTATTTTATCATCTTTCACTAGAAATACTGCTGGGTTCATTTCTACAGGGTTTGCATCTTCCCCTGGGGGCCCAACATTATTTATCCATGCATTCATTCCAGAACCAAGTACTCAGCACCTGCTGTGCATCAGGGACTGTGATAGGCCCTGGAGTGCCATAGGAAACAAGACAGACACACTCCCACTCTGATGGGCCTGACATTCTAGTTGGGGAGAGAGACACAAAGCACACAAAGAAGGCCATTACCCAGAGTAGAAATGATTGTGAAGAAACCCAAAACATTGTGCTGTGACCAAATGATGGCTTTAGACTGGGTAGTCAGATCTGATGAATAGAGAGGCACCAGACCAGATTAGAGCTGGAGAAGAGGGTTTCAAGCAGAGGAAGCTATCAGTGCAAAGACTGTAAGGTTGGAACAGGCTTGGCACGGTTGCGTTTGAGGGAAATATGGAAACCCAGCATGTCTGGAGGGTGTGAGCAAGGGGTGGAGATTGTGAGACCAAGCTGGAGAGGCTGATGGCAACTTGAGTAGGGTAGGAGTCAGGGGTTGGCTCTGAGCTAGGCACAAGTCCATTGGAGGTTTCTATGCAAGGGAGTGACATGATCTCATTTATGTTTCAAAAGGTCTCTTAGGCTTCCGAGGGGGAAGTGAATTGGGGTAGCACAAGGGAGAAGCAGACAACCATCCTCCTTTGGAAGGGAACTGAGGCTGGCCATTGATGGGTGCTGGCCATGGAGATGGTGAGGGGTGGATGGTGGAATGGACAGGCCTTGCTGAAGGGTTGGCCCAGCTGGTGGGGTCAGGAGGTGGCTTTTGGTTTTAGTTTGAGCAATGGGTGGCTGCAGGGGCTTGTGCTACACTTTAGGCAGCACCTTGAGCTCAGCAATAAGCATTCCTATACGGTCACTTTGCCCTCCTAGGAGCTGTCTTTGTGGTGCTGGGCACAGTGCCCAATACAGTAGGCATGCAATACATGCGTGCTACGGTCATTGCTTCTGGCCAGCAAGTTATAGGGCTTGTTTTTGACAGTGAACTGCTGACCTGGCTTAGTTTTCCCCAGCATCCTTTTACTCAGACTAGTTCTCCTCAACTTTTCATTGGTATACGTAGAGCTCCCAGGCCGTTCTCATCCTGCTCCAGTATCTGCATTTTGAGTATCTGATGGACAGGGAGGAAAAGGAAAATTC